TGCTGTCTAAATCTAACAATTTTTTTTCATTAAGGTTCTTGCTGAGCAAGTTGGTTTCTGGGATACCGATAAAGATGCTGTTGGAGAAGATCTACATATGTGGCTTAAATGTTTTTTCAAAACTGGTGGTGTTGCTAGATCTGTTCCTATATTTGTTCCGATAAACCTTACCAACGTTCAAACTACCGGTTATTTTTCAAATATTTATGCTCGCTTTGTCCAGGCTAAGCGTCATTACAATGGTGTTGCCGATGTTGCTTATTCACTGAAATCTGCTTTTAGTAGTGAACAACATTCTACCACTGATACCGAATCACTTCTTTTGAGTTCATCTTTAATGCCAGTTTATAATCCTTCTTCTGGAAAACGACCGTCTTGTCTTATGTCCTGTTCATTTTTTGATAAGCTAGTTGTGGTACTCCACGTTCTTGAAGCTCACATGATTCCATGCACGTCTGGTTGGTTAATGTTTGCTGCAGTACCTATAACACAATTTTTGCTGATATCCACGTATTCGCCTGTATCTAGCTATTATCCAAACTTTCAAAATCCAATTGTTACTTCAGAATTTTATGCATATATGTTTTCTCTAGTACAAGCGGTGAGCGTATTATTACCCATGCCTTTACTCTTGTGCGCAATGCTATACGAAGGATTGCATAAGACGGTAGATGCAGAGTTGTTTAAGAAAGGTACTAATGAAACACGGACGTGGAAAAATTACATGGATTATGCTTGGTTGCCTGTTAGCGCTTGGTTATTTATGACTTTACCAAGTACTTTGGCTTGCGTTAAAAGACTCACCAGAAGTAATGATAAATATGTTGTAGCCGCTAAAAATATATTTACTGAAGCACTTACAGAATAACAAGCGATGAATATTAAGATTGTAAACTTATGTTCATAATTTCCCATATACTTATATCTTTAGAATGGCATACACAACAGAACAAAGTTGTTATTAATGAAAAAAAAACAGTAAACGGGGGCTTTGTGAGTTTTGTTTTTGAATTTGTTCGAAATTTTTGTTATTGGATATTTTGTTGTTTGTCAAAGGGCATCACTTAAGATTTTCATTTATGATTAAGGTTTTGAACTTATTTTCTTACTCCTTATTTTTAATTTTATAATACTTTTCG